CTGGGCAGTGCCTGTAGTGAGGAGCAGTCAGTGGGAATCTTGAGTGTGGGCGAGGGCACAGATGAGGCAGCCATAGCCTAGGGTGCCTTCAGTGTGGTAGCAGATTTTTGAAGTCTGTCCCCCTTCCTGGCTGTGTGGAGGAACCTAGGGGACAGCCTGGACCTCTTTCTCTGGTGCTTTGAAGCCAGGGTGGCTGAAGCTTCTTGGAGAGAGGAGAAGGCTCAGAGATGTGACCTCAGACCCTGCCCAGATGTACTCTAAAAGCCTCTCCTGGCCCTTCCTCTAGCTTCTGGAGCCTGTTCTGCTGCTGGGCAAGGAGCGGTTTGCCGGCGTGGACATCCGTGTCCGGGTGAAGGGTGGTGGTCACGTGGCTCAGATTTATGGTGAGTTCCAGGACCTTGGCTTGACGGGTGGGCATTGGCTGAGAGTGAAGCCCCCGTTGCTGGCCTTTTCAAACTTTATAAATGGCTAATTTTGCACATCTTTCTTGCAGCGATCCGCCAGTCCATCTCCAAAGCGCTGGTGGCCTACTATCAGAAATGTGAGTGCCTGTGGGCAGTGAGCAGGAAGGGCAGGCTGTGGCCCAGCTCTACCTGTAGGTTCTCGTCTCTTAAACCCCCGGCCCTGTCTCTCTCCCCAGATGTGGATGAGGCCTCTAAGAAGGAGATCAAAGACATCCTCATCCAGTACGACCGGACCCTGTTGGTAGCTGATCCCCGGCGCTGCGAATCCAAAAAGTTTGGAGGTCCTGGAGCCCGTGCTCGCTACCAGAAATCCTACCGATGAGCCTCTCCTGTGCATTGGGTTCATCTTTATAATAAACGATTGTGGGACTGGAAGCTTTCAAGACTGTTGTACTTTTCTGTGGTGGGTCTTCCAGAGGGAACGTGGGAAGTACCTCTGCCCGCTTCCAGTCGGGTTTGAGCCTTTCCTGTAGCCACCACCTGCTCTGGGTGAGATTAGGCCTTTGGTTGGCAGGGAGCAGACCTGATCATGCTCCTGCACCTCCTGTAGGCTGGGGTGGGCACAGCCAGGGCTGGGAGGTGAACCTGAAAGTTTGCTGGCCTCAGAGGACCACGTGGAATGTTGGGGTGGGCTGGAGTGGTAGTACAGCTGGTAGGGCACTTGCTTTATTGTGGCCAACCTAGGTTCGGTCCTCAGCATCCCATACAGTCTCGCGAGTACCGCCAGAAGTAACCCGAGTATCACTGAATGTGACCCCCAAACGGAACGTACATACATGTTTATATGTATAAATGTGGACATCCTGTATGCAAAGCAATGAAAATGAATATAACCCATCAAGCTATCTTTCCATCCCCTAATGTCAAAAGATAGTTTTTTGGTTTGAGGCCACACAGGTGGTGTTCAGTACTACTGGCTCTGCTCAGGAATCCTTCCTGGAAATGAACCTGACCTAAGCACACACACAACCCAATGAGCAAGTTCACACAAAGAGAAACCCTCTAGGTAAAAACAAGATACTAAGGGCCATGCCTGAATTGGGAAGGCAAGTTTTCTATGGGTGTTTTCAATTTTGTGTGTGGTTCCCAATCTATGCTCTAGGGGATTCAAGCCATTCCTTAATAGTCTGCTAATTAGGCCAGGGACAACAGGGTAGAATCAAGCAGTGCTGGAGGGTATGGGAGGGTGGGTATTCCTCTTGGCACTGTTAAAGGGGCTGTGAAGCCCACAGGGATACAGCAAAATCTCCCTTCCCTGGATTCCCTTGAACTCCAGCCCTAGGGGTCTGGAGACACCCAGTTCAGTCCCTGGCACTGCATATCCTACCACCACTGGGTGGAGCTCAAAAATAAAACATTGCTCCTGATGGGAAGGCCTTGAAACAGGTGCTAGTTAAGAAGGCTGATGTGCCCCAGGACCTCAAGTGCTATTCAGGACTTTTTGTCACTGATGAGGAGAGACCTGTAGGAGGTATCCTTGAGTGGTGGATAGAAGCATTACATGCAGGGTTTGTTTTTTTTTTTCTTCCCCACATCCTGTAATGTTCGGAGACTATTCCTGGCTTTGCTCAAGAATGACTATGTGGTACCAGGGATTTGGTCCTGGGTGGACAGGATACAAGGACCTTAACCCTGTACTATTCGGTCCCTTTGGGGCCATACCCGGCAGTACTCAGGGATTACTCCTGTTTGGGGGACCATATGGGTGCCAGGGATCAAACCAGCCATAGTGCAAGGTAAATGCCCTACCTGCTGTACTCTGGTTCTGGCCCTGGCCCATATGGTGCTGGGGATGGACCCCAGCTTTCTAATGCAAAGCCTGCACTCCAGCTTCTAGTCTTACCCCCATTTTAATCTTTTTACATATGTATTTCTTGGGTTTGCACCTGGTGGTGCTCAGGTACTCCTGGCTCTGGGCTCACTTCTGGTGGGGCTCCGGGGACCATATGGAATGTAGGGAATTGAACCTGGGTAGCTGCAAGAGAGGCAAACGCCCTACCCACTCTACTAACATTCTGGCTCCTTATCCCCATTTTTTTTTTTTTTTGGTTTTCTTTTCGGGTCACACCTGGCGATTCACAGGGGTTACTCCTGGCAGTGCTCAGGGGACCATATGGGATGCTGGGAATCGACCTGCTGTGCTATTGCTCCAGCCCCCTTATCCCCATTCTTAAGGGCAGGATATTTCTGCTTCCTTAGCAGTATTTGCAGTCAACTTGGATGACTTGAACATCTGCCCCAAGTGAGGTTCCACACTCCCCCGTTCTGGGAAGAGTAGCAGAACCTCCATTTCAGTGACGGCGGTGCTCACCGTCCACTTGACCATCCCCTTCCTGACTCAGGTCAGGCACTGTCCTACTAGCGTGGGCCAGTCACGGGGTGGAGAGCTGAAGCTGGCATCAGACAGACATCCCGGGGAGGGCAGCAGCACCCACTGGCTCTCTCTGAGCCAAAGTTGGCTTTGTTGCTCTGAAGGCGGCTTACAAGGGCATCCTGGGAACGGCTGGGACCGGGACTCAAGGCAGAACTGGGCTGGGGGAAAGCGAGCAGAAGGAATGCGGTATGGGGGCCAGAGTCTGCTGAACGCCCATGGTTTTTGCAGCCTCCGAAGATGCCTCAACGGGGGCTCCTGGCTTCCTCCCAGCAGCCCAGCTGGGACGCATCAGGGAAGGCGGAGGGGCCCGTCTTCCCCCTCAGCTGCAGGCCTGGCTGGCTGGCCGCTGCCCCTTTCTCCCTCCTGGCCCGCCTCCTCAAATACCGGGCATTCCGGCGCCGCTGGGAGCCGGGGCCGGCTGGGAACTTTCCTTCAGCTGGGAATGTAGGGCTGGGGGTAGCCGGGAATGTGCAGCTGGGGTGGAGGAGGGGAGGGCCCGCCCTTCACTGCACGAGGAGCAGCCACAGGCTTGAGGCTCTGCTGGTTCCCGGCAGGCACCCACAGCCCTTGAAGTGCCCGCTGCCGGCCTCCCCAAGGGCAGGGAAGCGCCCTCTGGAGCGACCCTGCGGAGACAGGCATCGCTTAGAAGACAGCAGTGGGGATGCCACTGGTGCCCGCTCAGCCCCCTTCTGAGCACCATGCCAGCTAGATCCCTTTGCCTCTCCAGCCTCAGTTTCCTCATCTCTCAAGTGGGGACTGAAAAAGCCCTCACTTGCCTTTTAGGGTTGTCAGGACTCCAAGGGGAGTCCAAAAAAAGTGACTAATGCCCATGGTATGCAGCTTCTCTCAATAAAGCCCCCAGCATTCCCGGCCTGTTTTTTTCTGCTGTCATGAGCTGCTTATTCAAACACCAGGTTCCTAGGGCCCCTGCCCTGGAAATTCTGACTCCACGGGCTCACCAGATTAGATCTTGGAACTGTGATCAAACAGGGGCCCCTAGTAAGTACAACACGATGCCTCTGGAGTGAGAACTCTCCAGCAGCTTCGCGAAGATTCTGGGCAGCTCGGAGGCGGGGGTTCTCATTTTTCAGATGACAAAGCCTCGGCTCACAGAGATTTCACACATTGAGAAACTAGAAAACTCAGGACTTGAGCTCAGCTGTGACATGGTGGTGCGTCAGAGCACGCCAGGGAAGATTAAAAACACAGAGGTTAAGTGTTCAATAGAAGGAAGCTAATATTACCAAAGGAACTTCTTAACTCGGACGTCTTGGCAGCGTTCCACTGCTGGGAGGAGACAAAAGGTTCCGAGGACAAAAGCCTTTTTGCTTCTGCAGCATGAATTCTGGGGGTGGGGTAGGGGAGTCCAGTGAAGGACTATAGAAGGCCCAAACTCGAGAAATGGGACAAAGGGATCAGATGTGGGTGGTCATAAGAACTGGAATATTCATGAGCATGAAGTGGGGCGTGGCTGCCAATAGAAATCAGTCCATGGTGGTGCAAAACGCTTCCCAGAACCGCCAACTTAATCTGTTCCAGTGTTAGCCTTAAACTTTGTCGCAAGTTTCATAGAGCCAAAAACCCAGAAGAATCCCAGGAAGGGATGGGCGGAAATTAAGAGGGGGTTAGAAGACCGCGTGTGTGTTGTGTGTGTGTGTGTGTGTGTGAGAGAGAGAGGGGGGGGGTACTTGAGATGTAATGGTAATGACTAGATAGGATAATATGAAGGGACAGGTGGACGCATGGAAGGGTGAGGACAGTGAGTGGGGCTGACAGAATGGAAGCTAAATGGGGGGGTGGGGGGTCTGGATGATGGATAAATGGGTTAGCAATATGATGAAGAAAGTCAGGCAGACGGGTGGGATAAGAGAAAAAAAGGCCAGTTACACTTGCCTTGCACCCTGCCAACTCCAGTTTGAATAATACTGGCTCTGCACAGGGTCCCCTGAAAACTGCCAGGAGTGATCCCTGAGCACAAATCTAAGACTAAGCCCCAGGGTACCACTGGGTATGTGCCTGCTCCACGACCCCCCTTCCCCCCCCGACTTGTTCCAGAACGGTACAAGAGACATAAATCTAAATCCTTGAGATTCATTAACAAAATATTAATGACATCCCCTTCCCCATCCTGCTGGCTATCAGGGGCCACTCACCAAGCTGAGCCTGGGCACTGGACAGCTACTGCTGTTTTCAGGCTGGGGCTCAGTTTTGGGGGGGTGATGTTCTGAGAGTTGGTGGCATCTCGCAGAAGTCTTTGCTCTCCGAAAGACCTGGCATCCCGGCTCACGTGTGAAACGGGGCATCGGGAGGCCCCTGGGCCCGACGAAGGCCCACTGAGTCCTGGGCAGGGGCCAAGAGGGCAGGATGGTTCAGTCTGACCTGGGCCTTGGCTGGCCGAAGCCGCCCCCCACCCCCCACGTGGATGCTGACTGTGGTGGCATAGCTGAGACGCCGGGCGGGGGGTGGAGGGGGCTGAGGCTGTGGTGGAGGCGAAGGTGCCCGTGAAGTGGGGGCTGAGGACCAGGGGCCCCGGGGGGCTGGAGGGGCATCTCCCCCAGGGCCTTGCCGCCGTGCCAGGCTCTGGCTGATGTAAGAAGCTGCCAGGTATCTTGAGAGCGCGGCTGCACTGGGACCCAGAAGCTGACGGGTGGGCAGCGGGGGGCTGTGAGGAGGGGTCAAATCTGAAGACTCTGACCTGGCAACAGGAGAAGGCAAGTGACACCCAGGTGTGGACAAAACCAAGGAGGGGGCCACTGGGCTAGAGGCCAGACCCTGAGTGTCCCGGGAGCCTCCTTGCCCAGGTAGCGATATGGTGGTCCCTGGCCCATGGGCATTCATGAGGCCACCCTGATCTGACAAAGAGGACAGGTTAGGACCATGGAGCTCTGTGGGGCTTTGCTCCTGAGGGAGAGGGTCGGCAGCTGAACCCTGGCTCTCTGGGAGGTGTCTCTCCTTGGGCAGAGGTGGGGATGCTGGGACCCTAATGTCCATGAGGCCTGGTGGTGGGGACACAGGTGTGGCAGCTAGAAGTGGACCGTCCGGGGGGTCCCGGGGCAAAGGGAGCGGGGCACTGGCTGGGGTCAGACAGTCTAGAGGGTCTCTGTGTGCAAGTAAAGGACAAACAGCTGAAACCGGGGTGTCCGGGAGGTCATGTCCTAGCAGTGGGCTATTGGCTGCGATCTGAGGGTCCTGGCTATTTCCGGTCTCATATAAAGGGCTGCTGGGGTGGCCACACATAGTGGCCGGAAGCTTGCGGTCCCCAGGTCCTACATGCTGCATTACTAATGATGGGTGAGTTGGGCTCTGGCTGTCTGGGGGCCCTTCATGACGGAGCCCAGGAGTGGGGGACAAAACCGGGACATCAGCACTTTCAGGCGTGGGCACAGCAGGGGCTGTTGGGGCCTGGAAGTCCGCAGGGCACCTTTGTTCGGGAGCGGGGGCAGCACCAGATGCCTGCGCCTCCCCTCGGTCTCTGTGCTCAGGTGGAGAGGCAGCCGCAGGACCCTTGATTTCCATGTGGTCTCCTTGCTCGGTGACAGTTGTCACAGTTGGACCCTGGACATCCGGGGGTCCCTTCTGCGCAGGCCAGGGTGTGGCAGTGGGAATGCCAGCACCGCACATATGTCTTTGCTCAGGCACGGGGACAGCAGCTGGAGCCTGTGGGCAACCCCAGTCTTGCTCAGGCCGACTTGGAACTCTTGGCCGTGGGTTCCCCTGGCAGCCTCCCAGATTAGACAAAGGTACAGCAGCTTGAAGGCGGACAGCAGGACCCAGGTGCACGGACGCCTGAGCGCAGGCCAGCGGGAAGGCCAGCTCACACACCAGCACGTGTCCAAAGGCAGGCAGGGGTCCTGGGTGCAGAGAGAGGGAAAGGTGGCTCAAGACAGACACCCCAGCGGGGACCCCTCCCCTGACCACACACACCTGGACCTTACCTGGCTCGGCCTGCTCTGGCGTCAGGCAGGGCACGAGCTGGGGCTGCGCCAAGGCCCGAGGCCGGCGGCGCGGTGCATTGGCCGAGGCCCGGGTCTCGGCCCGCTGCATCTGCTGGATCCGCTCGCTGTAGAGCCGGGCCAGCTCCCGGACACGGGAGCTTGAGGCTCCCACCTTCCCGCTCCCGCCACTGCCCCCCAGATCCGAATCTTCCAGGATCAGCAGTGGCTCCGGGAAGCCAGGCCTGGCCAGCTGCCCCTGCTCCAGCGCCCGCCAGGCGCTCCGGATTTCCGAGCAAGAACGGAACTCCAGCTCCTCCGGGAATCCCTCATCGCGGGCGCCATCCTGGAGCTCGAATGCGGGGAAAGACACCCCTTCTTCTCCTTCCTCACACCTGGCCCCATCTCCCGAGGAAGGCTCGGCCCGTTTTCCAGAGCCACTTTCAGGGAATGGGTCTCCCCTGCTGGCTAGTGCCTCCCCGGGCTCCTGCAGGGGGTCCTGAAGCCAGGAATCTCGGGGCTGGGCGGGAATGCTGGAAAGTTCGGGAATGTCAGCTGCAAGGCGGGGCATTGGGGGAATCTCAGCCAGGCCAGGAATGTCGGGGAGGCTGGGAATGTCGGGCACTTCAGCGGCACCTGAACTGTCCAGCCCCTCCAGGACATGGAGTGGGGAAGGCTCCCGTTCGTCCAGCTCTTCCTCCTCCTCCTCCTCCTCCTCCTCTGAAGAGTCTCGATCCTGCAGGCCTTGGAATGGGAGGGCACCGCCTGTGCCGGGTGCTGGGGGCTCTCCGAGCAACTTGGGGAGGTCGTGGGGAGACGATGGCTGGGGACTCTGGGAAGAGATACACAGTCAGGGTGCGGGATCCCAACTTCTTGGTCTGTGCCTGCCCAAGCTGAGCGTCCCAAGGACAGCAGAGACAGTGTAGTGGGGAAGGTGTGGGCTTGCATGCAACTGACCCTGGTTCAATCCCAGGGAGCATGGAGGGTCCCTTGAGCACTGCCAGAAATGACCTCCAAGCAGAGCCCTAAGCACTGCCAAGTGTGGCCCAGACCCCCACTTCTCCCCTTACAAAAAGGAAAAAAGAACAGGGTGATAGAACCCCCAGCTCACCCCCGGATCCCGGAGACCTCGCTGGTTCAGCAGCTCAAGGATTTCTTCTGTGATGGATGTTCCAGAGGGGTCGAGCGAGGGGGGGGCCGTGTCTTCCAGGTCTTCGGAGGGGCCAGAAGCTGCAGCTGTTGGCTGAGGACCCAGTGGCGGGTACAGTTCCCCGTCACTGCCAGCATGCTGGGAGAAGCAAAGAGTACTGTGGGCGTGAGTTGACAGTCCTGGATCCTTGTTTCCTCCTAGGCCCGGGAGGTCAGCCCTAGCCCCTGCGCTTCCTGGTCCTCAGACCTTAGGCCCAGGGAATGGGACTCCAGGCCCCTCCTCCCTCAGATCTTAAAGCACAGGGCTGCCCATCCCAGGGCCCATTTTGCTCTTTTACTTAATATTCTTGATTTTGGGCCACATCTGGTGACGCTCAGGGGTTACTCCTGCACATAGGAATCATTCCTGGCAGTGCTTGGGACCAATATGGGGTGCTGAAGATCGATCCTGGGTCATCATATGCAAGCAAGCGCCCTCCCCACTGTGCTCTCCAGTCCCTGACATAGCTTACTCTTCTTTTTTTTTCTCTTTGAGTCACATCTGGTGATGCTCAGGGGTTATTCCTAGCTCTGCACTCACTCCTGGTGGTGCTCAGGGTACCATATAGGATGCTGGGAATCAAACCTGGGTTGACCTTGTGCAAAGCAAACACCCTAACTATTGCTCCAGCCCATACATAAATTACTCTTACCTTAAGCCTCTGCTTGGCTGGAGATGGAGATGTGAGGAAGAGAAAAAGATCAAGTGGAACAAGTGTTACTGTTATTATTATTATTTCTTTTTGCAGAGGGAGGAACATGAGCTACACCCAACTTGGTGCTCGTGGACCATGCAGTGCTGAAGATAACCTGGACCTCCAGCATGCAAAGCATGCACTCAGCCCTTCGAACCCTCTCCCAGGACCCCCAGTATTACTGAGTGTTGCTGAGGAGCTGCTACTGTTCCCCCTGCCCCATAAGACACTGGACACCCCAAGACGTGAGACAGACGGACATGGACCAGGCTGGGCCAAGTGGTCACTTACTGTTCGGAGGAAAAATGACAAAAGGGTCTTTTACTGGCTCTGGGGGGTGGGGGAAAGGACATAGTGATGTCAGGGGCCCAGCTCCCAGCCTAATGTCTGCCTTTTGTTTTTTTTTGCTTTTTGGGTCACACCCGGGGATGCACAGGGGTTATTTCTGGCTCATGTACTCAGAAATTACTCCTGGCAGTGCTCAGGGGACCATATGGGATGCTGGGAATTGAACCTGGGTTGGCTGCATGCAAGGCAAATCCCTACATGCTGTGCTATTGCTCCAGCCCCTCCCTACCTTTTATTTGCTATTTATTTTTATTTGGGGGGGGGGTAAACCCAGCTGTACTCAGAAAACTCTAGGTAATGCCAGGGATACTATATAGACTGTTAGGGATTGAACCACTGTCAGCTGCGGGCAAGGGCCTAAACCCTTGTACTATCTCTCAGGTGCTGCAGTTGTTTTAGGGGCGATCCCCACACCTTGCTTGGAAGAACAAGCAGTGATAGGGATTAAGCCCGGGGTTCCCAGTATGTGGACCCTGAAACACCTCCCTGCCCCACCTGGTTCACCCCTAGGTAGTGAGGGCTCACCAGATTGTCTGCGGCCGCGGCGGATGGAAGAGGGTCCCGGTGATGGAGCTGGGGGACAGGCAGGTCAGGATCCCATTACAAAGGCTGGTTTTAGACTCCAGAAGGGGAGGAAGGGGGTACTGGGAGGGGTTCTACCTCCTCTACCTGTGTTCCTTCGTCCAGGGGTGAAACTTCTAGCATCTCGAGGTCGGGGAGACCCAAGTGGGGGTGTCAGGGGCTCCGGGAGGGGTTTGCTCTTAGGAGCACCTTCAAGGAGAGATTTGGGATCAACAACTTACTCTCTTTTGGGGGTACCTGGCTTCCAAACCCTCCAAACCTAAGGTTTCACTCACAGTGAAGGCTGTTTTCAAGAAGAACTTGTTTTGCCTGAAAGACACAAAGATGAGCGTTGGGGGCAGGTATCTGAGCACCCCACCCCAGTCCGAGTCCCAAAGTGACAAGGTGGGGAGGGGTGAAGTAGGCGAGAGTCAAATCCAGTAAGTCTAATACTGCAATTTTTTTGATTTTGGGGCCACACCTGGCTGTACTCAGGGTTCACTTGCTGGCAGGGTTCTGGGAACCCTGGGAAATGCAGGGATCAAACCTAGGTCAGCTGCATGCAAGGCATGATAATTCCCTACCCTACCATCGTTCCACCCCTTAGCACTGCAACTTTTCTGAGTTCTACCCTCAGGATATTCCAAGGCTGTGGTAGGGCTTTCTGCACTCCAAGGAGCCTCCGCCTTCTGTCCTTTCCTCCCCCACAACCCCCACCCCAGCCCTTGTTACCTGTCCCTGCTGTGGCAGGAACTGTACCTTGGCAGGGATGGAAGCGGGGTGGTTCTCAAAGAAGAGGCGCTGCAGACAGTGGATCCAAATCCTCTTCTCCTCTTGGTTCTTGGCCTGGGCGTGGGGTGGAACCAGAAGCAGACGTGAAGTCTGGGAGCTGGGGAGCCCCCACTAGCCAACTACCCAGTTCCCCCACCCCCATCCCTGCTCACCTGAAACAGGTGTCTGTGTTTGGGAATGGTCAGATCAGACACCTTGAAGCCCAGAGGGTCGCGCGGGTTCTCACTCACACTGAGGTTGCAACACTGGATGGGGGGGCACAAGAGCTCTTAGGCTGCAACATGTCCATGGTGTGTGTCTGGGCCCTCCCCACTAGGAAGCAGTGCCCAATGAGGATCTATGGTGGGCTTCCCTCCCCCAATGGTCCTCCCGTGATTCCCCACGAACACACCCCCACCCCCAACCCACCATCCTAATTGTTCAGTGCTCAGGAATCACACCTGATAGGGCTTGTGGGGATCAAGTAGGGGTTGGTAGCACACAAGGCAAGCACCTTAACCCTGCACTATCTCTTGGGCCTACTGTGACCCTTTTATGGTTTGCTTTTTGGGCCACACCCAGTGATGCTCAGGGGTTAAACCGGGCTCTGCACTCAGGAATTACTCAGGAGACCCTATGAGATGCCGAGGATGGAACTTGGATCTTCCGGGTGCACGGCAAATGTGCTCCCTGAGATTCTACCTCTCCAGCCCCCCACGGTGGCCCTTGTAAGCGGGGTTGCACTGCTTTGCAGACCTTGGCCTCCCCCACCATCCCCTAACTCACAAAGATGTGGCCCTTGTAGGTGTATTCCGGTCCACGGCGCTTGGCCACCAGCAGCATCCGGGAGAAGAGAAAGAGTAGCCTCTCACCGCCTCGAAGTCGGGGGCCGCCCCCTCCGCCCCCTCGGAACGCTCCCTCCAGCACCAGCTCCCCGAAAGCACTGAGCTCCGGCCCGGTCCAGCCACAGAGCCGCCGCTGCACTTCCTGCTGGGGAATCCGCCGGGCGCAAACCCGTGGGTCGAGACGGGGGTGGGGTCAACAATGGCTTGCAGGTGAGCCCACCCTCCAAGGCTGCTCTTTAGCGTGGTTCCCCCAGTCCCACGCCCACGCGGCGGCCTCAGCCCATCCCAGGTCACCTGGAGGCGTGCCGCATGCTCCTGCTTGCGCTTCATGTCATTGATGTACCAGGCCACCGCGGTCATGGACACGATGGCCTCCTCCACCATCTCGCGGCCCCCCGCACCTGGGCCCTCTGCCCAGTGTTTGCCCAACTCCTGCCAGACGGTCCCGGGGTGGTCCAGGTGCACGAAGCCAGGAGAACGAGAGAAACACAAAGGAAAACGCTAATAAGACTCAGAAACAGAGCAGGAGGAGGAATCAATCCATTGGGGTAGCCCCAGCCACAACCAAGAACCCACCCCCAGGGCAGCCCATTTCCAGTCACCTGGTGTCACGTGACCCGCAGTGCTCCCTGGATTCATGAGCCAGAGGCTGCTTACCCAGGCCCCGCCCCCAAAACCCACGTGACCACAGCCCCGCCCCGGCCCCGCCCAGGGCTCAGGCTGACCTGCAGCAGCAGGTGGTACTTGAGGATGCGCTGCACAGGTTTCAGCAGGAAGCTCTGCAGAGGCAGCGAGTGCTGAAGCTGGGCCTGGCGATCCTGCAGCCACAGGGCTGCTGACGGAGACAGCGACAGTTCTCGGAGCAGGGCCAGGGAACTGCGGGAACAGCACAGGTCAGGGGGCGGTGGACGGGATACAGGCTAGGGGCGGTCAGTGGCTGTCAGTCACCTGGGCCAGGGCCCTCAAACCTCACCTCGGGTAGTTCATGCAGTACAACGTGTAGATGTCAAACTCCTCACTCTGCAGGTGACACGGGAGTCAGGGGGGCAGCGAGCCGGAAGTCCACAACGCGGACCCCCCCACGCCTGCTCCCCTCCCTGCCCCAGGCCTCTCGCCCTGGTCTCACCCACCCTCAGCACGAAGCACTCGGCAATGCCCCCAGCACCGCTGCTGCCCTCCAGGTCCTCCAGGAGTTCACTGTGGGGAGAGCGCAGGGATAAGGGCACGCCCTGCCCCTGCAAAGCCCCCATTCCATCAGGTATCCTAGCAGTACTGGCTGTCCTGTCTAGGGGAGGGTCCTCCCATCACTCCAGAGTGAGGTCAAAGGTGCACTTCCCATCCCTTCTGAGCATAGGATTGGGTCCCCTGGGAATGGTGGCGCCATGCCTCTCTGAGGGGGGATGGCACCAGATCCCACTGGCACCCCCAAGCTAGCCCCCACTCTCAGACCTCCTCCATCACCTCCATCCCCAACTGTGTCCGACATGATCCTCCTCCTGGCTGACCCAGTTTGTCCAGGACAAGCTGCCTCACCGAGGCACTCTCACACCTGCCCTGTCACAGCACAGAGGTCCTGTCCCCAGACCCCACCCCTGTCTCGGTCCTCAGCGACCTCACTCTATGAAGTGCTCAGCCCTCGTCAAGACCCGTGCCCCATGATCCCACGTTCCACAATCTGCACAGAGCATTCTGGGGCCCAAAGCTTGGGTCAGGACACAGCCACCTCCTGCCCCCAACAGCCAGCGCCCCTGACCTGCTGAACTGGTAGATGTCTTCGATGTTGGCAAAGAGTGTGCCCACCTGCTCCGTGCTCAGCCCCAGGACCCCACCATCCAGCAAAGGACCCAGGTAGTCCTGTGGGGGTGATTGGGGTTAGGGGGGTGTGGGGCGTCCCCCTAGGTCCCCCTGGGAGGCCAACCGCCCAGCCTTACCTCCACGATGCTACGCAGGTCCCGCACATAGGCCCGCTCCGTCTCCACAATCTCCCGGGCCACTCGCTCCAACCGCGAGGGTTTTGCTGAGCCCTGGGTCCCCATGGGTGACAGATGCAGGCGGATGGGGGGTCCAGGCAGAGGCTCTGGTCTGGAGGCTGAGCAGGTTGGGGTGGGTGCGGGGGCTGGGTCCCCCTCAGAGCCCACAGTGCTCAAGGAGGTGGAGCTCCCAGAACCTCGGGGGGAGGCCATGGCCGCTGTGGCAGGGGCTGCTGGGGGCAGGAGGCAGGAGGTCAGGGATCTGTCCTGTGGGGGGAAGTGCTCAGCCCCCCCACTCGCCCATGACCGTCATCGTCTTCCCACAAGCTCCCTTCTCTCCTCAGCACAAGTTCGCTCCAGTCCTGTGCTCATCCGCCAGGGTGCTCTGTGCTTCAGGCCCCTAATCCACCTCCAGTGGTAAGCCCAGGAGATCTTTATTAACATGCCCGCCTGCCTTGCTCACTGCCCTTCATGCCCTCAGGATGAGAGTCCAGACTTCTTGGGCCACAGACCCTCTGGCAAGGTGGTCATCAGGGCCATTCTTGTCACTTCTCCCACTGCCACACCATCTGTCACCCTTCTTCAGCACCCCTGCCAGTTGCTTAAATAAAACAGTAGCTTCCTCTCATTTCTGGGCCTTTGCACATCCTGCTCTCTCTGTGTAGAAGTCCTCCCTTCCCCCTTCTCCCCCCACTCATTCCTAATCTTTCCCTTCTCCAGTTAAAACGATGAAGCCTACTCCAGGAAGCCTCCCTGGGGAATCTCCCAGATTAGGCTTCCACCCACTCCACCCCCACCGTTTTAACTGGTCCTGGGTCAGACATCCCCCACGGGCTGGGGTTGTCACCATCTGGGAATGGGCTCCTCTCTCCCACGGGACTTGAAGCTGGGTGGGGTGGGAGAGGGGTGCCTGGGGCTTCTAGGTCATCCCCGTGTTGCCAGCGTTGCGGGCACCCGGCTGGCCCCAGAGTGGGTGGGTGGGGTAGAGCAGGCTCCACCCCTCCCGGGCAAACTCACCTGTCCGAGTGGCACCCACGGTGGGGCAGTCACACGCCGGACCTCTGCGGCCACGCCCAGGGCTGAGTTTGCACAGGCTCAGTCCACGGGCGCCCTCGGGCATGGCTGGGTGGCAGGCAGCGGTCTGTAGAGAGAGGCCCTGCTGGGATCCCGGGACCCCTCCCGCCGGAGGCCTCTGCCGCCCAAACGCACAGATGGGGTTGGGGGGGGGGGGCGGCTGAGAATTCCAAGTAGGTTCTTAATCCCGCGGGGGTGGGGTGGGGGGCGGCGGGTGTCCCTGGAACTAACCCCTGGGAGACACGGAAGCGAAGTGCGAGAAAGAGAGGTGCGGGACAAGGCGAGCCCGAAGAGAAGAGGAGCTGGGAAGGTGGAGACAAAGAGAAGCGAGGGGCGCAGGGGGGTCGCGGCGGCGAGGCGGCGGCGGATCGGGGGCCGGCGGCACCGGGGTCCTGGGAACGTCGGAGCTCGGGCTGCCGCGCCGGCCGCGGGGCCGGGCTGGGAACTGCCGTGGGCGGGAGGCCGCGGGGTCCCAGGGGAGGGCGGAGGAGGTCGGGGGACCGGATGCCAGGGTCCTGCAGACGGAGCCCTACCCCCCCGGCAAAGGCTGCGACTCGGGGCGCCGGCCCGAAGCGCTCGGGACCCCCGGCCCGGGCTCGCTCGGTCGCTGCGCGGCCCCCAGCCCCGCTGCAGCCCCCGACTCCCGCCGGCGCCTGGGCGAGCCCCCCGCCGGCACGCCCCCTCATTGTTCCGCGGCCGCGGCGCCGCCCCCTCCCCCAGCCCATCGGGGCCCCTCGCTTCCCTTCTCACCTCCCAGGGAGTCGCCAGCCCCAAAGCGGGGCCCGCCCGGAGGCGCTTCGCCCCTAACGCGGTCCCCCGGGAGGCGCGGAGCGGGACTCCCCGGTCTCTGCAAGTCAGGGGTGCGAACTTCGGGCTCCGGAAAGCGGAATCCGGGTCCCTTGAAGAAGGGGTGCAGCGGCCCGAATTTCTTGATCCTCTAGGAGGGAAATGCTGGGAGCCTGGACTGAAGCCCGGGGCGGGGGGGGGGGCGGGTTCGCTAGGAACCCGAATTCCTGAGTCTCCTAACTAGGGTCCGGGGCTCCGGATTCCTGAGTTTCTCTAACTCCAAGGGCAGGGGATAAACCGAGCGTCCCAAATTTCTGGGGCCCCTGGAAGTGGTGGCCGCTTCGCCTCCTGAATGGTTGGGGCACTACGAATCCATCTCTCAGGTCCGCTACTCCGGGAGTCTTGGATTCGAATTTCGAGGAACCCTTGGAAAAGTATCTCCAGTCTGGGGTCCTGAGTTCTTCTAACCGGGTGCAGAAGGCAGTGCCTGCGGGGTCGTGCGGGGCTGAAGCCCGGGATTCCCGGCTCTCCGGGAGGGGGCGCTGGCACCTGGCTATCTGGGGTCCTCTAGCCTGGACTTCGGGGTCTCAGGGCGCGGTGCAGAGAGCCGGAACGCCGGAGTCTAAGACTCTGGTGGACCCCTCCAGCACCGGATGACTCGGGGCTCCGGTGGCGCCACATCTGTGGAAAGATTGTCGGGTCCCAGCTGTGGGGCGGGGGGCGGTCGTCTGGGGCTCCCCTCCCCCCATCGCCACTCGGGCTCATATCCTGTTCCCGCCCGCGGGGGTGGGGAAGGGCCGCCTTCCGGCAGCATGCCAAGAAAGGGTTAAGGCCCCGCCTCCCGGATACTGAATATTCATGAACGGTAGAGCACACCCCCTGTATTCCAAATGCCTCGCTGCTTTCCTTTTACAGCAAGAGTCTCGGAGGCGTGAGAATCAGCAAGTGACAATACTCTCTCCTATTGGCTAGCGGAAAGATTTTATTTGCATATTCAAATCCAGGACGGAGCTGCCGGAAGAAGTCACGTGGCTAGAAACAACTGAAGGACCCCGCGGAGCAGGGGTGCGGCCGGAGCTCCAGTGGCGCAATCGGTTAGCGCGCGGTACTTATATGGCAGTGCGAGCGGAGCGATGCCGAGGTTGTGAGTTCGATCCTCACCTGGAGCACTTTTGGTTTTTACTTTCCTGGTGTTTGAACAGTTTCTAAATCATCGCAAACAACTACATAATTTTAGTGGAATAACAACAGTCTTTGGAATGTTCAGATTGTAAAGACCTGTGAGACTGGAGAATTATTTTCGAAGGGTTGTTTGGTGGTAGGTGCTGTTTCCATTTAAACCACCAGGGGGTAGTATCGCCCCTTAGATGCTTGGGCAACTAATTGGGTCTGCAAATCTCGGTTTAGGACCTGTGGATGTGTCAAGTTGTGTCCTAGGCAAACTATGTATGACGCTACCTCTTTGTAGTTTTCTTAGCCTTGGCGCTCCTCCTCCTCCTCCTCCTCCTCCTCCTCCTCCTGTTTTATTGAGATGTAAATTGGCAGGCAACAGTAGTCTAAGGTAGAACTATAATGATTTGTGTATATTGAGAAATGATAACTGTAAATTAACAGCAATGACCTCATTCATTTTTCTTTCACGTCTTTAAGTTTTTAACTCTCTTGCCCTCGCCTTTTCTGAATTGTCCCTCTCCCCCCCCAACGTAACTTTTTCCTCGTCGTTTCTATATATTTTTTCCGATAAATATTTTTTAAGACAATGTGAACAGTTTAAACTTTGTTTAAAGTTTAGGGATGAGTACACAGTAAGAAAACAAAGCAGAGACACTGCCCCTGAGGATTTGACAGTCTAATCAAAAGGGAGGTCGGTTGTGAGAAACATGAAATACTCTTAGGTGTTAGCTGGTAATAAAGGTCATGGAAATAGTAGAGCAGGGTAGGAAGGACGGGGGAGTGGGAGGTGGGGTGTGGGTTGTATTAACAGTAGTCCGGGACCATCTATCTAAAGAGACATTTGAACAGATCCCGAGAGGGGTTGTGAGTCATGGGGACACCTGGGGGAGTGTTCCAGTCAGTGCAAAGGCCCTGTAGCTGAAGCCAGTCAGCTGTATTAGGGGAAAGAACTAGGAAGCTTGTGTGACTAGAACAGAGTGACTAAAGGTGGGAGCCAGGCTAGGTAGGAAGTTGGCTTTTATGGAAACTGACTCAGGCTGTGTGATAACAGGTTCTCTGGGGCTGTCAGGTGTTGGCATCACTGCTCAGGGCCCTGAGACCAGGGAGGAGCCACCAAGATGATTCAGGTGGGAGAGGAGCTCAAGAGGACCGGTGGGGGCCAGAAGCGGGGCAGGGTGATTATAGGTCTGTTTTTGTTCAGGGGACAACCAGTGGTGCTCCTGGGCAAATCCAGGGCTGTAGGTGTTTGTGCCTGGTGGTGCTGGGGGACCACACAGTGGTGGGACAGGGTTGGGGGGAGGGGTCCTTCCAGCCTGTAGCATGCTCTCCCATCCTAAAGCGAGACATTTTTGTTTTGGGGTCACATCCAACGATACTCAGGGGTTACTCCTGGCACTCAGAAATCACTCCTAGTAGTGCTAGTACTACTAGTACTAGGGGACCATATGGAATGCCAGCGATCGAACCCGGGTTGGATATGCTATTATCTGCTATTATTATATGGAATGCTGGTAGTAGGGGACCATATGGAATGCCAGCGATCGAAACCGGGTTGGCCCCGTGCAAGGAAAACCCCCTACCCGGCTGTGCTATTGCTCTGGTCCTAGACTTTCCTTTTTTTTTTTTTAGAAAAAAAGAGGAAGAAAAGGAGTGATAAGACTTATTTTGCAAAGGGCCAGTGTCCTGTTCTTGCAGCAGTGTAAATGTTTCTGTGGTGTGTAAATATCTCCAGCCCCGACCAATCAATGTCTTGGGGCTCTTGAGTTTCCTTCTCCAGAGTCCTTTTCCCACAAATGGGGCTGCGGGGGAGGGGGGGGAGTAGTTTCTTGGAAGAAAGCCAAGGGTAGGGCCGGCTAGTGGGCAAAGGGCAGGGGCCCAAGAGGTGTGGGAGGGCCAAAGGCCTGCGGAGGAGGGAGAGGGAACCCAGGGGAGCAGGAGGAAAGGGGAGTAAGAGGGGGAGGGGAAGTGGGGAACTAGAAGGGAGAAGTGAGCTGAGACGGCTGGCTAGGAGCTGGCTAGAAAAAGGGGAAGGGGAGTGGGGTAGAGCGGCCGAAGCGGGGGGGGGGGTGAGTTGGCAGGAAAGGGTCGAAAAGGGGGTGACCGGGAAGAGTTGGGAGAGGGGGCGGGGGCGCGGAGAGGCCAGGAGAGGAGGAACCGAGGGGCGAGCGGGGGCGCACTAGCAGAGGGGTCGAGGGGGAGGAGGCCGTGGCGGAAGGGGGCGGGGCGGCTTCCGGGCGCGGGGCGCCGGGCTCCCCCCGCCGCAGGGTGGTTCCCGCCGCCACTTGCCATGTTTGGTCCGAGGACGCGGCTCCGTGGGGGGGGGGGGGGGCCGCCCCGACGCGCCCGCGCCCCACGCGGCCCGGCCCGGCCCCGCCTGGGACGCAACCCCTCGGGCGGCCCCGGCTCGGAAAAGCCCGGGTGCCGTCCATCGGAGCTTCTCGAAGGCCCAGCTCGCGCGCTTCCGCCGCTCGGGGGTCCCGGAAAAGGCCGCGATCCCGCAAGGTCCTGCGCGGCCGGGCCCGGGGTTCGACGTCCCCCACCCAGAGCCGGGCTGAGATTCCAAGGGGCCGAGATTCTCGGATCTGCGCGCACAAGCCGGCGGGCCCCTTCCCCACCCCGGACGCCCCCACGCTCTGAGCCCCCGGAGGGCGGTCCGCGAAGGCAGGCGGCTGGCACTCCCCGCTCCCGGGCCGTCCCCGCTTCCGGGGCGCCCCCTCCTCCCGCACACCCCCGCCGCGCCGGACCCGCCCCCGCCGCCCTGGGCCTGCGCCCGGGCACATTCCGTCCTCCCCGCCCCGCCCGCTCGGCCCCGTGGGGACGGAAACATGCCGTCCCCGCCCGCGCGCTGGGTCAGGGAGCCCGGCGAGACGGGCGCGCCGGCGCCCCCCACGCCCCGCGAACTGGCTCTCCCGGTTCCTACCGGTGACCTCACCTGGCCCCGCCCCCTCAGGTGAACGACCGGGGCCGGTGACGTCACTTCCTGCCAGGTAAGCGCGGCGCGGCGGCTGGGCTGCGCGCACGTTTGCAGGGTCCTGCCTCAGGTGGACTCTGCACCGGCCGCGTCTCTCCCTTACACTCCACCCTCCAGCCCGTCTTCCCACTCCCTCCTCCCCGCAACCGCCGCAAGACCAAGAGACCGACTTTCTACGCAGTTTTTATTTAAAAATTCCAAGCACACAAAAATAAATTTCTGAATATATATTACTTAATATATTATACCACATAGAATAATTACTTCATCGTTTGCAATATTACAAAAAAGGGAAGGAGAAAAATACAATGGAGACAGACGACCCAATATATATAAATACTATAAAATTTTTTTAGAATAAATAAAAGTCGTCATAAATAAAGGGTCTAGTGGCTGGGGCAAAGGACGGGGAAAAGACTTGGCAAAGGCTTTGGCTACTTGATTTCGGAGGGAAATTTGAGCACCAGGATTCTGCATTCTGGGAGGCTCAGGCCTTCTGACTGCGGATCCTCGGGGGCACGGAGGCGGGGGCCTCGGGAAAATTGGGGGGAGGGTTGGGGACAGTGAGGGCCTTTATTCACAGCATTGGGCAAGGAGAGTTCTGGTGCAGGGAGAGAGAAGGTTCACTGCCACCCTGGAAACTTGCTACATTTTCCTCAAAAGGACCCCAAGAAAGATTCCCGTGAACACTGCAGGAGGGACCACGCTGGGGGCCTGCCCCAGTGTGGGCGAGGAGAGGGCTAATGCATGGGGGAGGGGAGGCTGCCTGCTTCTGAGCTCCTAAATCCAAGATCTCGGAGTGCAAGAGATGCCTCCCCCCTCCTCCTCGAGCTCCAACTGCTCAGTGGTGGGCAGGCTCCCGTTCACTCAGAGACAGAGATCCGGTTGAAGATGGGGAGCCGCCGGGCCGCGGGGGTCTGCGATGGCCCGAACACCCCAGCCTCGAAGACGGGCGAGTCGGAGCCGCCCAGGCTGCTGCCGCTGCTGCCGTAGTCATCGGGATCCGAACCCAGGGAGTGTGCGGAGGGGCTGCGAGGCAGGTCGCCCACGGGTCCCCAGACGCTGGTAGTGGCGGCCCTTCGGCAGGAGGGGCAACAGGCTGAAACAGGGTCCCTCCGGGTCACGGGGGTGCCGGGGGCGGCAGAGAAGGCAGAGGGGGAGAGGGGTAGGTCCCCGGGGGGTGGAGGCGGGGAGCTGGGGGGCGAGATGGACAGGCCCGAGGGCGGCGGCGAGCCCCTGCGGACAGAGGGCAGGCCCGAGAAGCTGACGCTCTGGCGCAGCACATGGGGGTGGCCGGGGGCCGCCAGGTCCTCGCTGGGGTTGTGGATGAAGTGGCAGCGGGAACCATAGGGGCAGCGACCCTGGAGGTAGAACTTGTGGCAGAGCTCCGTCTTGTACTTGGGGTGGCGGTTGGCCTGGCGCAGCTCCCCCAGGCCGTGGGCGAACTGACACTTGGACCCGTAGCGGCAGCGACCGCTCTCTGAGAAGGTTCGGCAAAGCTCCGTCTTGTAGCGGGAGGAGGTGGTGGGGGTCGAGGTCGGCGAGGTGGGCGAGGGCGACAGCTCAGGGCCCGGGCGGGGAGCCAAGGGTTTAAAGCCCGGGGGAGGGGGCACCCAGATG